TTGCGTTCATTGAATGCCTTTCCTTGTTGATCTTGTTTATCATACAATCTTTTGCAAATTATAGACAAACTTTAAAGGGTAAGATAAATGTTTTCTTTTATTTAAAAAAATGGAATGTATTAGAAGTATTCCTTCACGCTTTTGTACACACTTTTATTGCACGTAGTAGAGGTTATTATCTAGAATATATGTTTACAGAATGAAAGAATCTTATAACGAATTTATGAAAGTGCATTGATAGTTTAGAATTACACGTTAAGCATATTTTTTTTGCAATTCCTTGGCCAACAAAATGTTATATTTTTTGTGCTGCTTAAAACAAAAAATAAACACAGCTGACACGTGGTAGTAAAAAGATTTTTCATTTTAACTTCAAATTTAAAAACGAAGAAAATATGAATCCACATGGAGGAAAATTTTCTCAAAAGAAAGATTAAAACGATTAAATGCCTCATTTCACATGAAATTGCAAATAAAATGTATTGTTTGAGACGTGCCATATTATATTAGCTCCCGGAAGGAACTTTTATTTATTGGTAGGTAAACTACGCTTAACATTTAAAACATACATTTCTCGCACAGCAGTGTTATTATTAAAGCAATATACGAATTAATACATGTACTATTTGTTACACATTACGTGATTTGTTCACTATAGTCTTAGGTGACCTTAGAGGGTAAATCTACATAATGTCACATTACCAAAACGGTACCCACGCAATAACCGAATGCCGGGTTTTAATTTTAAGTTATTATAGTTGAGATGTCTGTTTTGAATGCCATAGAATACAACATCTCAACGAGGTATGTAGGACGCTATTTTTTACCTTATCAAGATAATGTCAATCGAGGCATCATTTTGTAGATATGATAGAATATGATAGAATAGGTAAGAACAGGACAGGACAGGACAGGACAGGACAGGACACCGCACCGCATCACAACACAGGGATAGGATAGGACAAGTTAAATGAAGTTACAATAAAATCACCATTAAGTTTTGATAAAGATTAATATTATCATTTATGTTTATTTCTAAATCCATAGATACGCCTCATACATAGTACAAGAAAAAATGATAAAATAAAATGTATATATTAAATATTTCTGAAAGTCATATTCTTATTTGTTAAATATTATAATAAATTATCACACTAGATAAATCAAGCCATTTTGTATCGTATGGATATTTTGAATCTTCAATGTTACGCCTCGTTTTAAAGGTATTAATAAAATATGGCCTCGTGAACGAAAAAGAGTGCGATTCTAGTATATCATGACGCTTAAATGATATGAATATCAGGCAACAAGTAAAACAAATCTTTCATTTGATACATTGTAAGTAGCTCAATGGTGTTAGGCGCCATTCGCAGTCAAACTGTTACATTCTGAAGTATTTTGCTCGTTCGCACCCGAAAAATATCAAGACGTAAATAGCCAATTAATTAAGACAAACTTTACATAAAAGTCTAAAGTGTTATGCTGTTGTTACCAGTTGTTGATAAAATTTTGTTTAATGATTAAATCTCACATCTTGCGTTATCTTTCTATATAAAACTCACACGTCTGCTAGCTTTCAGTTGAAACAGTTTACTTTGATAAATATAACATGGTGGCATAAGCACTTTATTTAATAAAAGTTAATGACCACACACAAAGTAAATAATTAGTTGAAGACACATAACAAATGGTGCTCTTTATGACACATTGTTTATTATTAAAAATACCCTTTAGTCCTTCAGTTTTATATAATTTTCATCATTTGATAAATACATAGCAGGAATTGCTTATTTTAAGGATCGAATAAAAAGTATTTGGACCATGTTTAACCAAGGTTCATATGCTGAAACATGAAGCAAACTATAGACATAGACAATTCCGATTTAAACATTTTTTTTATTATGAAATGATAAATGATAAACTTTGATCGTACAAAAGGCAGTATGCCCATTTTATGCAGTTATAATACAGTCCGTATCAACATAACTTCAATTACATGAAATAAGCATGATTAACTAAAAATATAAAAATGGCTCTTTTGAGTTTTCTAATTGAGCGTTCCAAAGCTGTAAACCATTCTCATAAAGTGTTTTATTATTTACATAAAGATGTAAATTACTATGGTTATAGAAGCATGTTTTTGTTTCAAACTCCTTGAAATATCCGCACATGATTAAAACCTAATCAGTCTAACAAATGTTTAATGTTATGTGCAAATGAAATATGTTCAGAATCGATATGTAAGTCTCTTAACGTCATATTGTATACATGTCTACATATTTAGTGGCTGCTTCGCATTCTAATATTTTAAACCAATATCTCGGCGGTGGCGCATACTAATGTTTTCCCTGGCAAACAAACCAGATACTAACATTTTTCCGCAACTTCCCAAGTAGTGCCCTTTAAGAATCTTACGTCTTAATTGTGAAAAATTTACATCGTTTTTCGTGAATTGTTTTTTTGTTTACCTAAAAGTAGATACCACATGTAAATCAAAATTACTGAAATGAATACATTTTTCATCACTTATAAAGTCTGTTTTGTGCATATTAATAAATGACATATAGGTGTGTTTGTCGCAGTAAAAATAAATGTATAATAAGTAAGGTATGTGATTTTTCTTAAGCTAGAGTTAAATGTGTTATACTGGCCTGAACCGAACCCTGAAAGTCAATGAACTTGCTATTTTGCAATGGATTCAGACAACTTAGTAGACCAAAGTCGGATCTAAAAATGCTGATTTCTACGAAAAATGGACTTTATACCAAAGACCAAATCGGTGCATTGACTTACACCTATGCCACGTTGTTATTTATCGGCCAAGCTCCTTAAGTGCCTTATATTAACCTTTTGTTCACAAAATTCGTATAATTTATAAACAGAAAGAACAAATCGCTGTGCAGACAAATTTCCCTATAATAAGCGTGTATATGGTGGCCTTGTATCTATGGGGAACTTCATGTGCTATATATTGTCCTGAAATCCTTCAAGCTATTTTACTTTCGTTGTAGCAAAGAAATCCGACTGAATGTTAAGTCACTGTACCATCCTTAAACTGCTCACGACTTTTGAAGATAAATATTTTTCTACATGCGGACGATGCATTGACATTTTAACTTTTACTGAAAAAGCATGAGTCCTACACAAGATTCGATAATCGCATACAACTCAAACTCCATCAAGCGCCGCTAATGTCATAATTATAAAAAGCTGCATAACAAAATAAACATCTTTACCGTTTCCAGAAATAATATCAAAATGTCATTAAGTTGACACCTTGCACTAGCACTATTAAGAATATATGGAAAAAAAAACCCAAAACAATGGTGCTTCTGATAAAATCTATTCCTATTCTTCTTATAAAAAAACTGAATATCCAAGTCACGAAACTTGAAATAAGTGGTTTTACTTGTATATAATATATCGTGTGATTTGACGAAAAAGGTAACTTTTGTGAGAAGAAGTCCGTGAATTTATCGATCAACCCTCGTATTCAGAGCTGTAAAAATTCTGAAATGGTACAATTGATATCAATCAATAAATTCATTGGGCATACCGAATGACATTTTGAAGACCTTAATGGTTTTCTTTAAATAAAAAGCACTAAGAAAAAGAATTGTAAATTGTTGTTGGCAATGTTAACAATTTCATATTAAAGAAATTCTTACGTACAATTAATGTTAATACATAAAAGACTGATATTTTAATAAACATAGATAACATTGGCACATCAGATACATGTATATTGGCAGATACAATTTGATATTTTTCTTAATGAAAACAATAACTTTTTTACAGAGGCAATAATTTTGATAACGATAAACATTCCAGTGTTACCTCTATTCCTATATTCAAATCGCCAAACTAATTCATAAAATAAACATGCTTAATTTTAATATCCATTAATAATTTCATAATCTTTAATGGATCAGTATTAAAAAGCAAATCATCGCAAGTAAATTAAAAATCATTAAAATGTAATTTTATTTGGGGACCATTATAAAATTTTCATTTGCTTTATTAAAATTATCTTTTGTAAAATTTTAAATTATTTTGAAAGGGTTTTAAATGAGAAACCCCAACAAAATTTTTAATTTTTGTATTTATTTTTTATAGGAAAAAGGGTTTTTGAAAAAAGGGCTTTTTTCGGAGGCACATTTCAAACACAAATAAAAGTTGACAAGTTAGGGACTTTTCCCTTAGTTTTTAAAGTTTTTTATTATGATTTTTTTGTAACTGTCATTTTGGAAAAAATTTTCCCCACCAAACCAGTGGTTTGTTCTGGAAAAAAAAATTATGTAAAAAGTTTTACGTTCCCTTTGGTTTTTATTCAGGGACACTGAAAAATTTTGAAGAAAATTTTTTTAAGTCAAATTTTCATTGAAAAACCCAAACAAACTGACAAAATCTGTAAAAACATTATTTTTTGTTTGATCTTTAAACCCATTTTTTCACTATCAGAGAGGCTTGTATTTGTCGAGACTAGAATTAATTATAACAGTATTTTCTAGCTAATATTTGTTTTAGCTTGAATATTTGCAGATGATATTAATGGACTGGTATGATTGATATGTTTTGATGTCTTGAAAGCTTCGCAAGTGGTCTACTAGTTTTCAAACTAATAACAATAACGGCTTGGTCAAATGTTGACTTCTAAATCAACTTATCACACATATGCGTTTCTTTGTTTAGGATAGAACAAAATGAACGGTACTCTTACAGATTAATTGTTTGCAAATTAGCAAAAATTATAAAGGATGCTTCTTTGACATCCAGACGTCTTTAGATTGATTCTTATCTTTTTGTCATGATCTTGTTTCTTCGACACCAGTACTATAACTTCCAAGAAGGAGGCTAAAGTCATTTAAGTTGATACCATGATTAAGGTTCTATCTAAATGAATGTATTAATATTATAAAATACTATAATTATCTTTCAAATTGCATAACTTGCGTTTATTGAAGATATTGTGGACGAAACCATTAAAATTATCTTATTCATCTGGATATAAACAGACAAACGTATAAATCGAATAAATCATGTTTATTACATAATGATACAGTATAAATGCTGATACATGTGTACTTAAAATAAAAACAAAGTAAAAAGTATGCAGTAAAATTTAATCCCTTGTCAGCATATGTGGATGTGGTATTGACAAAGTTGTGAAAATAAGATATTCCTGAGTATTTAATTATAAAAACAACATTAACACACAAAAATACTAATTAATTCGTACACAAAAACTCGACATACTATATTTAAAAGATAAAGATTGGTTAAGAAACTTAGATCATATTTTCCTCAGTAAAATAATTTTTAGAGATGAGACATACCCCTGCAGGTGAAATATACAACTCCTTAAACAAATAAGCATTATTCTTGACAAACATTTCGAAACGGGACAATTACATCATTCTATCTTTGTTCCATATTTTAGTTCCTGAGGAGGACAGTTTGCCCTTGTATTGAATTAAAAAAAGCAACTAAAAGAGATATGCTCAGAATGTACAACTGATATTAATAATATTACATTTGGCGTTTATATATTTATATAATGCTTATAAAGGAATTTTATTCCTGTACAGAAGACGGTCAAATGTACAACACGCCACAATTACTAACATTCACAAATATAAAGACATATATGATGGTTTTTGTAAAAAAATCCGTCACCTAACCCTGTACACAAAATGTAAAAAATGAATACACAAACTAGCACCAAATGTTATTGCCGTAAATGTAACACTTTCCGCTCTATTAAAAGTCACTTCAGCACACGTACGTAGAATATCTATTGGTGTCTTTGTGCGAACTCCAATAAAATCTCCTAGGTCTCCTTTAAGGCACGGATGTTGTAAAATCTTCTGAGAAAAGTCTGTGCAATTAGAATTACACTGCTTATTTTGATTGTAATAGCCACAGATGTCTTTAGAAAAACCTTGAGCTAACACAGCTTTGTTTGAGCCCTCTGTGAAGCTTCTCCACTCACAACCATCGTAAACTCCACCAAACTTTGGAAGTTTACGAACGCAACGCTGTATACTTTTCCACTGAATACACAATGTTTGCATAAAATTTTGCCGTGGATAGTATGTTAAAAATCCATAGCACATTTCGTCACTCGTTGCAGCGCCGAATTTAATTGTTTTATCTTTGTCGGATTTGTACGTGCATTCTGTAACTATATCGTCTCCAGGGTGGATCTCGACTGGTGGATTAAAACTGTGGATAAGAGAAGAAATATTGATAGAAAAACGTGCTCACTAATCATAAACTTATTGAATACAGTATAGTTTTAAAAAAGATTAGCTCAATTAAAGATATACTATGCTCATCTTTGAGTAAAATATTTCAATCGAAGAAATTTAATAAAACCTATGAAACTCTTACTGAATATGTCTAATTTAAATAAAAAAATGAATGATAAACTATATTGGAAGTCACGTTCTCTAATACAGGACAAGTTAAGTTGGTCTTTTCTTTAAAAAAAATTCCAGTTTTGTTAACGACACTTTATATTCATATTGTGTCGACTTATGTGTGTAGAGTTTTAAACATGACATATTAACTTTGTTTTAAATCAAAACATGTTTGTTTTAACCTTTACTAAGAGACTGTGTAGCAATTATCAATATTTTTATATCAAATTTGAGCATAGTACATCTTTAAGTAAACGTTTAAGTAAAAAATTAAAAATATCGATAGAATAATAAGAATTTTCATAAATAATAAAGGACAATAACTAAAGAAGAACACGTATCTGAATAGGTATGAATAAAAACGACCAAGGAATAGTATACAGATGAAGCCGTAAAGAAAGTACTTACTGGTGAAATTTTGGATGATCATAGTTATAATTTTTCTCATCAGTAAGATCTCTTATTTTTGTCCCATTTCTATATATGCTTATTCGTTGTCTTTTACCTGCATATGAAAAAAAAAAAAAAAACTTTAACCAATTTATAGAACATATTACCTGTAATGTAATATATTAAATATGCAAGAATTTTCAATTTGATCAGATAATTATTGTAGAGGTCTATGTGACATATAAAAAACTTCATTTGTGATTTTAAAGGTTTACGTATTTTTTAAGGGTTAATTAATCAAATGATATAAATGTTTTTGGTCCCTAAAGATCCTGTAACTCAATTCTTTATGGTTTTATATAATAAATATAATGCTCAAATAAAGATTTAACAATATTGTAAGTTCAAAAAACGTAATTTGCAAAGATAGTACCGAATTTTCATTTCGTGTTAATAAAGGGAAGTGATTAGAAATTTATTTTCTATAAAGTCTAAGTCAATCTTTTCAATAGTTTATACACTTATATAAAATTTCACTTAAATGTGGTAACAACATGAATTACAACATACAGGATCTTTAATTAAGTCTTTATAATTAGAAATATCGTTATGTTATATTATGCGCTTAAACTTTTACCATAGTAGTGCATGTGATTAGCCGCACGCGTTATGTAAATTTTCTCCTTGAATATTTCACTCGTACACTGAGACGGACATGTGGCTTTGAAGGTCACCCCACTTGAACTCGGGGGTATCTCTATATATTCCTGACCAAGTATGAACATAGACGCATCGTTTGGTCTTCGGTTAGCAGTATAATGAATCGTCATACCGGAACTGTCCGTCTGTCCGAGTAACTTTCGTGGATTATTCCAATGAATCTGAATTACAATATTTCACAATATAAAAAACAAGTTACATTAAATACAAACAGAAAAAAATACAGTTCAATATTAAGAAAGTGAATCCTAAGTGAGGATTATATGAGAAAGCATGTTTATAAAATGAAGGCATCTCATTTAGATAAAGAAAGAAATAATGACAAAAAGCCGTTTGAAATATTGGCATCGAGACTAGACCTAGGATCAAAGTTTCTTCTTACTTAAGGTATTACCACCCTAACGGGCACTATAAGGAACGGAAATATTTATATCATAGGTCAGATATATACCTTAACCTACACCTGTATGCAAAATTTTAACAAACTTTACCGTACGGAAATCGAGTTATGGCCATTTTTATGAATTGAAGCTAGGGTGTATGAGGGCTCTTTTTCAGAAATAAGTAACCTTTAAATAATCTGCAATAACATTCTAATGAAAAACGTTTCCCATTAATTTTTTGGTAAGAAACAAAAAGTAACATTCAGCTAACAATCAACACAAACAATATTATGGTTTCTACTCAAAAACTATAAAATATGTATAAAAATGTTACCCTACCCACCCATTTTTTACACGTGTTTGACCATTTTCCTACTAAGGGAGCCTAATTTAAAAAACCCTTAAAACTTACCCGAATGCGTGCCTGTTTTCAAAGTTTCCCTAAATTTTTAAAAAAGTATATTGGTTGATATTTAATACTTTTACCGTCTAGTTTTGATTTTATTACACTTTGAAAATATCAGGTACCATATTAATTACTAGATTCAGAATTATTTAGCCAATAAATACCTATATAAATTAAATAATAAAATAAACACTTTTTTCTACCAAAAATGGATGGAGAGATACATCAATAATGTGAAAAGAAAAAGAAAGAAAAAGTTGACCCATCTGATGTTTGAACCCATGGCCCTCAGTTTCAATGTAATTAACATTAGTTCTAGGCTATTTGAAAACCTTTCAAAGCGGAGGTAAGGCATTAGGATGGTAATACCTTAATGCACATGTTTATATTCATTAAAACATTTACTAACATACAGAGTGAAATATTTGGAAAATTTTCAAAGTAAATTGTTTTTAGAAATAAATCCAAATTTTAATCTTATATTTGACCAATTCTATATTGTTTATTGTTATCACCAGATTTGCTTGCTTATTGGCAGTCGTCAAATTTCATTAATATTTAATCTTTTTAAAGCTAGGAAAATAAAACCAGGATCAGTTGATCCTTATCCTACAGTTTTTTGTACACAATGGCCTAGATATATCATCCCTGCTACTATTAGATGTAGTAATGGTGTACTTCAATGTTTTGTAATTTTAGCACGCTTCAAATATTGAAGGTTTAAAAGTTAAAGGATGAAGAATGGTGCTAAAAAACTATCTTTTTTGAAGCTGAAAATTTTTTGTGCGGGGTTCGCCCATCCAAAATCCAGCTTCTTCGCCCAACAATACCCGGATGACCGGGTATGTCCACGTCCCAAAAAATTTTTTAAATCTTGTGGGGCGTATTTTTGCGGGTATGGTGCACCTGTAAAAAAACTCTATTAAGTTTGTTTTTATGGTTTGTTTTATTATATCTTGTTAGTACTCTGCTTGAATTTACGCTTTAAAAAGACTTTTAAAAAAGCTTTTTTTAATTCATTTTTAAGTGTTTCCCCTACTGTTTTTACGGCAGCACTTTCCAGTGTTTTAGTCATACAAAAGTATACAGTTAAATTTCGGGTAATGCTTGGATAAAGTGCAAGTATTTATAGGTTACATTCAACTTTTCGACATAAAACAGAGAATTGTACACAATAAACAATGGGTTTTCCGGTAAAATCATAACGATCTAACTATTTGCTCTATCGGAAAGACCACCTTCTGTTGAAACAGGAATACATTCTTACGATACAACATGTACAAAGAACATTGAAACGTAAACAGTATTAAAACAAAAGACAGGCATTAAAAGACTTGCATATTTTGTTTCATGTTTATTGTTTTATACATGTTTATTAAAAATAAACTCACTTTTCATTCTGTACATAACGCTTTTGTTAAAATTTTCTGAAAAATAAAAATGTAAATAAAACATTATTTTTGATATGTTGATTTTATCTTTAAGAAAAGAGGATATGATAAATCTTCTAAACATTTGTATAATACGGGACAACACAAATTAATTTCAAATTCCGGGTTCATTCGAGAAATTCGCTTGACAATGTAGATTTTCATTTCAAAATATGATTAACTTAACGATTTGAAATCAAAAGAAAGGCAAACATTAATTTCTCATACATATAAGTATTCAGCCTATAAGGCTGTATTTCAATTAAGCTTTATTTATGTAAAAGGCTAGGATATGTTTAGAAACATATTAAAATAAATTGAAGAGTACGTCGTCGATACAGTAGACGTCATTACAAACTTATTTATCCCTAAATTCCAACTATCAAAGTTGCGGTTGTCATTTGAAGTACTTTTCATCCATTTCTTATATACAACATTGAAATGAATGTAAAACAAGTTACCTGGAAAGTCACAGCCGAACAAAATCATATGATGAACAATATCTGTGTTGTTAATTATTGGTGTGGTCGATGCCAAGTGGAAGTCCCCATCTGTTGGCAGGTCGTATACCATACAAGTGTATGAAGTATCAACACCTGGGATAGGCGTCTGTGGAAATCGTAAGTCTTTTTTCTTCATGCCTGAAATATATGTTGGCAGTGTATGGTATTAATTGACATGGAATTATCTTTTAAATCAACAACATCACTTAAATATTAATACCATGATAGAGTTAAAAGTAATATATTTTTAAATGCAAATGCTTGACGACACAATCAAAATGAGTAAAAGTATTAGAAAAGATTATACTTAAGGCCATGTTAACATAAATTGATTCTAGAAGTAAATAGAATTATATTCCACAAATGTAATCTTGATGTGTCAGAGGGGTTAGAGGGAAATATAAAGATCTTGTTCATATTCTTGCGTAATGTTTTCTGTCAACGTTTTATGATTAAATTGAAGTTTTACATAGTGTGTTATCATACAAAGGCGTCACAGAATCAGCGTGAGTTTGACCCGTCTATCGTTTTGAGATCATTTTGTATGTCATGATATGATATGATTAAGTAGTTTTTTTGAAATGAAAGACATGATTTAAAAATGATTTATTACATTTCCTACCAATTAGAAAGCTTTTAATTTCATCTAATGTCACTTTTGTATGTATCAATAACAAAAAGACTTACAGTTTATCTAAGAGTAACATAATAAAGATATTATACTAATTGCACAAAAGTAACAGGTTAAGAAGTCTTATCAAATAATGTTTCGTCTTAAACATCTTATTATTGTCAAGCTATCTGAGATGCTTGGATAATCATTATATCTGAGATTGTAGTAAGAGTGTCAAATGCTGAGATACATGTATACATACGTACTTTAAAATGATTGTCATACTTTTCATAAAAATACTTTTTTTCACCATGTAACGCAAAATTGTAAAATTGAAACAAAATACTTCTTCGAAATTATTTGATCATTATAAGTTGGTTTTAAGCATGAATGCTTGTATGGCTTTAATTTTTAAAATGAAGTTTAAATGTAAGAAACTAGGTGGCAGACCACAATTAGTTACATATTTAAATCTTTATAGGATCCTGTTCATCCAGGTATATATATTTCAGCATTTGACTCTTTTATTAAAATATCAGATATAATGACTGCTAAGCATCTGAGATATCTTGATATAAACAAGAGTCACATAAACCTTACCCGGTTCAGATAACGCAGGACAAGGCTTATCTATCCTACTGCAGTCCAGTCGATCTCCAAATCTCTCATTTAATGCAATACATGTTTCATCGTCAATAGGATCACATATCCCTGAAAACATGTTGAATATATATTATAAAAATGTTTTCAAATATTCTTACAGAATTTATTGCAAAAGTTTAAAAGATTACATTGGACCAGTAATGGTAGTTCCACACTTAACAATTACTCTATATATCACAATATCAGTAAGATATTATTTTAAATGGCTTTTCACCTGGATGAGATTTGGCTTCCATTTTGGGAACATCTCCAGGTTTCCAGTTACAATCAGGATCACCTAGTTCTTGGCCATTTGATTGTCCGTCCATATCAGAATCTTTTTTACATAACTCCTCTGTCCATTTCTAAAATAAACAATATTAAAACAGTCACTGCAAGATAAAGCAATGGAATATTGGGGTGGGGGAGGAGTTAACCTAAATGGCACGAATGGATTTGGATAAATCAAGGAAATCGGATACTGTTACTTTATTGATTAGAGTTATTTCACGCTGACTCTTCGAAGTCAACATGCTTCATGTACCAAACAACTAGTTAAAATGCTTCTGATAAGCATAAAGTTTAGAAAAATGGATCCCATGAGAACGTCCAAAACCGGCAAAATTTTAAATGATGCATTAAAGGTAGGAAATATATTAAATGTGATGAAAGTTGTTCCTAATGAAATATCTGTCACTACATGTATCTTTACCTATAACTCTCATGATCTGGAAATTAAAACTGTTTGACTCTATTCAATCATCATTTTGACCAAATATATCATTTCATAATGTGAAAAATGTCTCCTTCCAAAGACGTATTAAAGAGCTCCATTTTGAATTGTACAATTCTTGAAAGGTACATATTGATAGAAAATGATTCATCACTTATCATTTTGAATTCATAAATATTCTTATCTTTGTAACCAAATATACATGAAGAAATATAATGTTCTATATTTGCTTTTTAATTGCAGTATACACCTTTGCCTTAGGTACACTTCAATGAATTATGAAAACTATTAACGGCGTGATAATATCTGTAAAAAGCAGAGAAGTTTGAAGTTTGAATCATCACTCCTTTTAAAAGATAGATACATTTGTTTTACATAGTTAGAAGAATGAAATATTTGCTTTAATTTGACGGATATGACATGTTTGTATTTATGTTAAAAATAATAATTTCATGTTATTCATCCGTATTTCTGAATAATCAAAGTTTCGATAGTGATAGAGTGCCCTTACAAAAACAAGAAACAAATGTATAATTATAAAAATAAAAGAAAATTGCATTTCCTTCTGGAAAAGATTGTTTTTTTCTTTCAAAATATTATAAAAATGTGCATATATGTTTTATGTTAATGTGCGTTATCTTCGCAAGTCCGAAAACAGGTGATGCAAATATATTTAAAGTAAAGTTAGCAGAGTTCATTGTTGCAAAGAATTTAAAATATAAGAGTTTGAACATCATTAAAGTTGTTTTTATTTTAAAGTTTATCTGATACAACCACATTTTAAACGACACAGTAAACGTTGAACATCTGGCCCTGCGGAAAATTACGAAGATTTAATATTTCTGAGTTATGTTTACGCTTTATCTTATCAAATTTGGTCACGGGTGCATTTCAAACTTACGTAGTTGTTGCATAAATTTATCAGAAATGCAACCTCTTATCGCGAGATCACGAACATTAATGTTTCATTTACGACATAGCACGGTTTTTGTCAAAGATAAAAATAAACAAACTGAATTTATTGAATCGAATGTTTTGAATGTTTCTGAATTTCAATGATATGCCAATTTATTCTTTAATTGAATGTACGATTTCAAAAAGATACAATTTGGTATCTGCTTAAATCAACCTAGTTATCTTACGAGGAGGTATAGAGCGTATTCTGCACTTAGATATTTGTATTGGTGGATGTATTCGGTCTTGGTATCTCGGTCAATCATATTTTGTCACTGCTTTCCTTGAACCAATTAAAACCTTTATGTTACTTATATCAGTAAATAATTACCTCGCTTATAACACTACAATCGCTTATATCATGTTCTCGCTTATATCATGGCCTCTTTAATAACATCACCTAGCTTACACCACTGCATCTCTTATCATTATCTCGCTTATATCATTATAGAAAAACTGTATAAGGTAACATTTTTTGAGAAATGTTTTAGGCATTAACACAAACAATTAATTTTCAAACTCTTTTTCATAACTAGAAATAAAAGTGTTTAAAAATCGAGAAAAAGATGACCGGATTTTTTAATTCATTGTTTCATGACATATGACTAAATTCAATATGGGTTTATTTACAGATAATTGAAATTTATAACATATCTTGTCCAAAATCTATAAATATCGTTACGCTCAGCATTATTGATTTTAAATTTAGAATATCGATCATTTGATACTGCGATTCCTTGCTCTCTTAGTCAACATTAAACGTACGGCAAGGAAAACAACAGTAGCAATTTTTTATTCAGAAATACATATCTTAAAGTGATATCATTATTTCACCTATCTTCAAATTAATTAACATCGGTATTCTTTTCATCATCTCAGTTATCAAAGAGTTTAAAAACATTTTGCATTATCTCACGAATATTGATTCTTTTTTTTGTTGCGATAATGTTTTTGGTAAAATTATCTTACTAGTTATATATGCCTACCACAATAGGTCTACATAAAAAATGTTGAGTTCATACGTAAGACATTTTCGTAGTATAGTGTAGCAGTAGGTTAACCTTTTTTCTGACACTTTGAGATAAGGCATTATCATTCCGCATGTAATTATAAAGAGTATCTGTTTTCGGAGTAAAATACTGCATGGGTGGTTTGAAAACGTTAAGAAATAAACGTTTAAATGTCTATAAAACATTCTAAGTAATAAAATTATGACGTTTATTTGCTTTTTTACATAATGTCATGTACTCTGGATCTCGTTCATTAACAAAATGGGAATGACAATTTTAGAGGTTTGCAGAAGTTTTCTTTCCTTTTGAATTTCAAAAACATATTTGTATTTATTTCCTATTTAAAGTTATTCAGTATAAAACGTTAAATAGGAATAAATTGATTTTTATAAGACAATATAAGATAATTGTATGAATTGTTTGAACATAAAGACGTTTAAAACGATATTAAACTGCGAACTGTCAATATCTACATACCAAACTAGCGAGTTTAAAATCAATGCCAAATCTGTTTCTTATTCCACCAGTTCCCTTTGCTCCGCCAGGATAATGGTGCCCTACTCCTTCCCATATATAACCCTGTCCACAAGGATGGGGTACTCTGTCGCCATTTGGTATATGTTCACTCATGTACTTGTGACCATATACACAAACAGATACTGACACTATTTTCAACACATCAAGCAAATGCATTCTGAAAAGAAATTCTCTTTATTTTATTGAAAAAATATTTTAGAAATACCAATGCGAAAATAATAGAATACAATAATTTTGAGAGAAGGGAGGTATTCGAGAAATCCGAGTTAGAGTGTCTGAGTGAAGTTTAAACTGTATGTAGGTGAAATATACGAGTAAAGGCGGAATGCAGCTTATATGATTTTTTTATAACAAGTTTTATGATATGAGCACAGTTTTGATCAAATATGCATCATGATGTTTAATAAATGAGATAAATTGTTAGGATGATCTTCCTAGAGAAAAAAAATCCCAGAAAAAAAATCTATACTCACAAACAGTTGAAATTTATTTCACTTATATTTACAAGAGGCACATTTTCAATAAATATTTTAAATGATGATAAAAATAAACACAAACATCATTTGGACATCAATATGAAATTGAGTATAAACATTTTTATGCTGAAGAATACATTTGTTTTGTTCTAGAATATTTACTATTTGTTACATATAAGGATATCATATCGGAACGTTTATTTCACACAACAACACCCATATTGAATTCTTTCGTGGTTTGTTGTCACATTTGATACTATAATGCATCACACAATTGTTTTCAGTGTTACAAATTTTCTATTATGAACCAATTCATTTTACGCTGACGTTCGGAATATATTTATACATCTAATTGTTAGAAAACATTAACGAACCTGTGCATATTGCACTGTGTTGATAAATTGGAAAGTACAAGGCGTGTGGTTTAACGACCGCGTGCATTATTTTTAAGTGTTAACACAGAATTAGCCTTAGAACATGTAATGTTCTTATCCTCAGATTAATCTTTATAATTTTCTGATAAATTAAATCCTTTGGGCGAATGTACTTTTACTCTTTTTTTCGTCAAGTGAACACTATGATATTGTATTACAGAAAAAAATCTCTTTACTTCATTAAAGATGATTTTAGTGTTAAGGATTTATACTAGTTTTATCTGCTCCGAAAACAAGTCCCCATTGTCTTTCTTAGTCAATATGTAAACAAGCAGTTTCTTTAACAAGGGGCATTTTGCGAGCATCATAGTGGCGGCAAGACATATTGGTTTACATATCGAGCTAGTAAGCTAAAAATTGCTAGGTGCATGGGTTCATATCTCGTAGTTTTCTTTAGCAAGAAACTTTAGACGGATTGTATGAGAATGGTTAAGATAGTGTGGCTATAAATCTATAGCTTACTCAACAATTGGAATTAAAGTGCATAGGCCTACAATGGGCAAATTTTCCATCAGTATTTTAAATATTGAAAAAAATAATTGAAATGTATCATTTTGAAGTTTTTTATATAAAATGTTGCATAAAAATAAAAATGTTATTAAAATTCTAAGTGATTTAGAATGACCATTTATCTGATGAATAATAATACTTCATTCTAGAACCCTTCATTGCATTCTTTATTTATATATGTGATATGTAAGCATGTACCTCTCTTTTGCCAACAACGCGCATGTCTAATTCCTTCGTGTTGTTATGACTGATACTTAAAGCTATCAAAGTTACTACAATTCATTGTGATACAGACCTTCTACTATAGACCAATTCTCTTTAAATACTTTATTTATCAAGACAAATGAATTTAAAATGTTTACAATTTTGTAAGTAAAAACTATGCTTCAACTTAAATCTCGCAAAACTATGTATTTTACATCATTGTGTATATATATCAATCTTAGACTTATATTTTTCTCTTATTTCAGTATTTAGATATTTCATTTCACAAAAAATTGATTTTTAAAATCAACTTATTTTTATCAGATATCAGCTATTCCAACTCATTGAAGACTTGATAATGCATTGATATATTTGAAATTGATATTTATCAAGCAGGCTCAATAGTAGGACAGACACTCAGCTACTGTTATTGTCGTAGTCATATACAGCATAGTAAAGTGTGCATACGTAAACGTGATTTTCTTTTACATGCTGCAAACAAGTATATACTATAAATTTTGATATTCTCTATTTTCAGTTTATAAATAAATTTGCAGATATGTAAAATTAGCCCAGCTTGAATGTACGGTTATTAACCTTGAACAAGAAATTAGTTAGCAGAGTTGATTGATAGCACATTTCAAACCCAACTATTCCTTCTGTCTGAGAAAACATTACAGTCTTATTTATTCCAAGGAATACGAATATTACAGTCTCGTAGAGTTTTGATTGTCAGCTATATTCTATGTGTTTTTATACTGAATATAATATTTTCGTTATGATATAAAATGCAAATTGTCTTTTTGTACAACTTTTCCAAATTACTTTATATATTCTATTAGTACATTTATTGTATTGTAGAATCATCACTCATATACATATGGTGTATATGATAAGTATTTATGTTTTATGTTGTCATTTATAACGTCGATTTAACTTTTCCACAATTGTGACGTTACGTTAATTTTATCTTGATACATTTCCCTGTTTGCTGCTAATGTTAAGAATTACCAGTTGTTATCTATAAAATCATTAAAATAAGTTTCATCAGCCAATTAAAAATACTGAAGTGCTTCAATATAAAAAAATGATATATTGACCAATCTATTGACATTTTTGAAACTGATATATTTTTCATTTGTTTTTTTCCTGGTATTTGATTCTGTATTATGAGCATTTTTGGAAAAAGCTGTCAAGTTTAATGTAATGCCAAGTATTCCAACTACATTCCACATAAATGCTCTGAATGTAACGAGTTGTCATCTTTATATCTGTAATAATTTACATATTTATCCATATTTTATGATGTTTTGTAAACTATACCTGTAACTGTGTAAAGGCACATTTAATTAAAAAAAATAATATAAGTACGATATATATATATACATTAATTTCTAGAAAAGATAATAATGTTGCAATTAATGTTTTGAGAGTATGCTTATCACATGAATAAAGTGGAACTGGAAGTGAATGTATTTTGACTAAAAGGTAGCAAAATGTAAACAAAGTGGTATATTGACTTCCATACAAAAGTCTAAATCACAAAAACTGTACCGATTTTCAAAATGCTAAAGAACAAAAGACGACTCAGCTATACAGCAAATGCGTACACTTTTAGTAAATGTGAAATGACACAAAGCATTCAGCTTTTGAAAAATAGAAATAATGCCCTTTTTGTTCAGGCATAATGAGGTTTTAAAGACGAAATATTAACATATGATAGACAAAAATTTAGAAAAATCAACGTTTAACCATAATTAAAGTTATATAAAAAATTTAACAAATATTAAAGGTTACATTTAAGGCTACATCACTTAACATGCATTCTTAAGTATTGATCTGTATTTGAAGTAGACACAAATCTGCAAAAAATGTCTGGCAATATTTTACCTCAATTATATGTTACAGAACCTAGTTGAATATCGATTCCGCTTTATTCCAAACTTTGCAAAAACACTTTCGTAAAATTATGGCTCAGTTTGTATTTATATCCGGAAATTATTCAAATTATTTTTTTATCCAGTTAATGATTTTATCCTTCCTATAGTACTACTCCATTCAGCACAGTTTGCTTTAAACAACAACAAAAATAATTTAGTCCATTTAGTAGATTAAACTTGCACCGAACTAGTAAAATATATCATATTACTTTGTCAGAATGTAAATTCCAGGTCTAAACGATCGCAAGGAGATTTTTCTCTCAAATATCCTATTATCCAAGATTTCCTGATATTCTATGAAATATCACGTGATATCACGATCTTAGATTATTTCGGCTGCTGCAGAGAAAGTTACTTAGCTCTCTATTGGTGACTGCCGAATTTTATATCTCCAATAGAAAGGAGAGATGTTTGATAATTGAAAATTACAATAGCAGATGTTCTGTGTGAACAAGATCGGGGATTAAAGCGATAATAGTTAAGCAGAATTTCATTTGATATTTGGTTCTTGGATTAAAATTTCTTCACCGATACAATTTCGAAACGTTAATCCTCATAACAATAAGAACTTACTTATCGTTAAAAAATGATAATTTTATTTCTTTTCATTGTCATTTTGTTATACAATGCAAACCACAACCATCCTATTTACGTATTTATGTATTTTCTTTTTTATTTTTGGGCCGTAGGCCGTCTGATTTCACCTTGACTTCCGCTAAAATTAACAGTAAAGAAATGGATATATGCAAAATTTCGTTGGTTATTTTAACAATAATAGCCTTTTTGATTGATACTTCTGAAGAGCTATAGTTAAAGGTTAAGGTCTGTTAGTTTAAACATATTTTATTTCTCAGAATATATATACATGTTATAATTCACAATATACAGATGCAATTCAAATATTCTTAAAAAACAGGATTAGAATGAAAGACAACATGTCTTATGAAATTCTTCTCCTAAGTGAGTAATTGACATGTAATAGGCGCTTAAATAATTACATATTTTATAATCTGAGACGAATATAATATAGAAAAAAAATCTTGAAAACAATATATATTAGAGAAAAAGAAAACACAGAAATTGATATGTATTCAAATGCTTTAAGAAACATTGTATATGTTCCATTTATTTAGGATGAATATATATTTAGAATGAATATATCAATAGATTAAATTAACATTCAAATAAATATTATCATACAAAGTAGAATAGTATTTGAAAAGAACACAGAAAGGTGAAAAGGTACTGAAGAAGGAGAAAGATAAATAATGAGGTATAAAGTATAGGAATATAATGTTTAAGTGTTTGGGTGTTAAATGAATCTTTTTGTCTCTTGGATGTAAGTGTGTACGTGTGAAAAAAATTGTGTCATTAGTTTGGTCAGAAAGGTCTGGGTTGCCTAAAAAGTAGAACATTTAAATCAATGTCAAAGTTATTTAAATTTCGAAGTAACTTTTGTCGAGCTGTGTCAAATTGTGTAACATTCGAAGAAGAAATGAAAGTTTTTTTTCTATTTGGCCGCAAAGACATAAAGGTGATGCAGTTATGTTTTTTCAAAAACAAATGGTAGTTTAGAGAACTACACTTTGTTCGAAGTCTTGTATGAAGAATTTGAAGTTTTCTTTCACCAGACAAGTAATACTTAGGCGTGTGACGTATGTTTTTCTTTAAATTTTGTTTAAAAGATGTGATAGTTTGGAAGGTTACGGACGTCGTGTGAAGATTATTCCATTCCCTTATTGCAGTCGGAAAAAAAAGAGTTAAAATAAAGTGTAGTTCTTGCATATATTCCCGGAATATTGTCAATATTTCTTAGTTGTACCTATTATTAGTTGATGTTGGGAGAATTGAGAATAGATAATCTGGAGCTAGTCCGTTTTGAATTTTAAAAAGTAAAGATCATTCTATGTATATATCGTCTTTCTTCGAGAGATTCCCCAGTTTATTTTCATTTGAAAGATTTTTCCGAGTGAAAACAAGTCTTGTACATCCGGAAGCAAAACGAGCACATTCGTTTTTGGATTTTGTTAAGTTCGTCTAATTCAAAATTTGTAGCATTTCCCCATATAACATCAGCATATTCAAGTAATGGACGAATGAAAGAAGTGGTAGATTGTCTCTAGTGATTTTCTATCTAGGCGAAATTTAAGTTTTCTCATAATATTTACCCTATTCCATGCTTTATTTGTTATATAATCTATATGTGAGTGCCATGTGCAGTTGTTCGAAATTAAAACTCCAAGATGTTTGTGGTCGGAAACTTCAGTAATAGTCTGATTATTCATTTGTAGTTCTGGGTGTTGATTTGGATATCTCTTTCTAGAGACTAATAAAGACTCAGATTTAGAAGGATTAATGAAACAAGCCATGTATCTGCCCATAATGAAATTCTGTCTATATCCGACTGTAATGTGATAGCAGCTGTTTGTGGATTTTCAACAACAAGATAAAAGACTGGTATCAATCGGCGAATAAATTGATACAAGATTGGTATATCTTTAACAATATCGTTAATAAATATGAGAAAGAGGAGAGGACCAAGTATTGAGCCTTGGGGGGACACCAGCTGAAAGGTAACCAATAGACGATTTAGAATTAGAAAGGACAACACGTTGTTGTCTATCTTTTTAAATATTCGAGAAACCAAGTATAGACCTTTCCAGAAATTCCAGCATGTTTCAATTTAGTAAGTAAACCCTTGTGCCAAACCTTGTCGAAAGCTTTACTAATGTCAAAGAAAATAACTCGTACTTCTAGACCGTTATCAAGGGCTTTTGCAAAGAGTATCGTAAATAGACACTAATTGATTGACTGTTGAATCGCCTGGTATAAATCCTGATTGAACTGGAGTAAGGAAGTTATTATTTTGCAAATGGTTAAAGAGATGTTTGAATATAAGTCTTTCAAATACTTTCCTCCATGGGTGTTTTAGAAAGTGAAATAGGACCCGATAGTTACTTTTAGGCAAGGATGGATCACCTTTTTTTGAAAATTAAGTTACATTGCTTCTTTCAAAAAGATGGTATGCTACAACTTTGGAGAGAGTTGTTGAATAGGTTTACATAAGGGGAACAGGGAAAATTCTTGAAGAAAGGCTTCTTTTAAGTATTTGTATTACTGATTCCATCAGGACCAGAAGGTCTGTTCGATTGCGTGATGGCAAGAAGTGTTGGAAAAATTATAAATCAGAATAAATATAAAAACACAATAATGAAATTGTTTTCTAGATGTTTCTGGCAGCTTTTCAATGTATATATGAAATTAAATATGACAAATTGCCTATTTGATACTTTAACGTTCGATTGGGTTTCCTAGTCATTATATTCTCTTCTCGAACCGGGCATAAGACGATTAGAACGAACTTTCGACTAATTTACAGTTGCAAAATTCTCAATGGAATAAGTATACAGTATCTGCTAAATCGTTGTTTTATTATAAATTCCTATTCAAATCAAATTCCATTTTGATTAAAATCAAATAATGTAAGTAATATTATTTAAGATAACTATCAATCGGGAAAACATTGAGGGTAAAAATGAACTGACATAAAACTGTTGAGGACGAATAAAATGTTCTATTTGCGGTTAGCATGGTTAATAGTAGCTTATCCTATGCAAGTTAACAAGTTTGACTTCTTGTTTATTATCTAATCGTTTGATAACATGTTTTATTATTTTTATTATAACTATACCAGAATCGTTTTGGTAATAATATTCATAAATACGTTATTTTATAAAGACATGTTTCTTTATCTATTATTTATTTATTCATTTTGTATTCATTCATTATTTATTCATTTAGTTGTCATTTCTTATTCATTTATTTATTTTGTCATTTACTGTTTATTCTGTTCATTTTTTTTTTCATTTTTTTTCTTTGTTTGCATTTACTGACATCTATGTTCAACCTAAGCATCATCACACACACCAGCGAAACTAAGTTATTTTTTTTGGAAATGACTTTCTTTTAACTGACACTTAATCAATCATCTTGATAAATATGTCAATCGAAACGCCATGTGTACTTGCAAGCTCTTAACACATGCTAAAATTACTTACTCAGCAGCTAAAAGATTAGAAAATAAATCTTGATTTTGAAAAAAAGATAATCCTAAATTTAATGGCTAAAATTAGTGTAAAAATGTTGCAATTAATTTGTTTTATTATTAATTTAGTATACTTGTTTGGAGTAAATCTGAAGAGTAAACACTTGCATTGAGTCGTCAAACATTTAAAACTTCTTGACATGCAATTTAAAAAAACAATATATTTTGCTTAGTTAAAGAGATATTTTATTACTTAATTTAGATTATCTTGTATGTCAAATTACGATTATTGAAACAATCTTAATGATTTAAGATTGCTTTTGCATAAATATGTCTTAATGATGAAATAAAGATAAAACCATTTAAATGTATGACTTAGCTTAACCGATCTTTGAGGCGTTTAATTTTTAAAAGGCACACTATGCCTCAGATATTTATTATTCTGTAATTCTTTAGAAAGGTCTGACATGTGTTTAATAAAGCTTTATAAATGGATGAACAGCATGTTTGTTGTTAAACTACTAAAAAGAGTCACACTGAATGTTTAGGAATAGGTAGTAAAGGTAGCAAAATGTAAACAAAGTAGTATTGTGACTTTTATACAAAATACGAAATCACTTATAATACAACTATATTATATACTTTACTGCGTTTCCTAAGTCCACATTTCATTTCCATCTGTCACAACAAAACCCATGCTTAGTTCTGTGTTCTTATCCTACAAATACACATTCTTTTTGGAGAACTCTTTGTAGCTCAAACAAAGATTTATTCTAAAATCAATGAATGTCTTAAACAGTAGTCATGATATTGGGTCTACAAAGAGAGTTACACTGCTCTTTTTTGGCGTTTATCGAATATTCAAGACAAAGACCCTGCAGGAATTAACTTAATAGAAACACAGTGTAATCAGTTATGTCTGAGCTTCTTTATTACCAAATAGAATCAATGATTACAGTTACCATACATTTAGAGGAACTCTCATTTCACGTTTAACGCCCATGAAATACAATCGAATATTTATATAGCGTTAAAGAACATTTATCATATCTGCATATTGTATTAATGCAAAATAAATGTTAGGTTTTATCAATACTTGATTTATGTAAGACTGTTAGTAAAATTTTAGAAAGAAAAACTGTTTGACTGTAA